CTATTATTCTGTGACTCGGTATGCCTGTGAAAGCTGCTTGATGGGATCGTATCAAGATGAAGAAGGACAACTTGAGTGCAAACCCTGTCCAACTGGGACTAACACTGAATATCTCCATTCAAGAAACATCTTGGAATGTAAAGGTAGAGGCTGCATGCACATTTTGAACAGAAGAAGCCTGAATTTTATCTCCAGTTATGGAATCTAAGTGGCGAATAGGATGAAATAAGAGCATCACTACAAGCCATTGCTTTAATTTTTCTTTCTCTTAATTATAAAATACTAGCGGCCTGGTGCATGGATTCATGCACCAGTGGGGGGTCCCTCAGCCTAGCCTGCGGGGATCAGTCCAAAACCTGCTCTCCGACATCCCCTGAGGGGTTCCAGATTGCAAGAGGCACAGGCCAGGCCAAAGGACCCGTCCAGTGCATGACCGGGGCCTGGGAGGGACCGTGGGAGGGCTCCAGGACATGTCTGGACCATCTTGACCAGTCCCAATTGGCCAGACCCCAGCAGCAAGCTAACCTATTGGTCAGAGTGTCTGCCCCCTGGTGGCCAGTGCACATCATAGTGACTGGTTGAACGGTCAAATGGTTGGACACTTAGCATATTAGGCTTGTATTATATAGGTTTACCTGAATCTTTCCCATACTTTAAAGGAGTCTATTTACTTTTTCTTTTGGAACATTCTATGGCTCTAAGTTAAACTCCACTCTAAGTCAATAATTTCAATTCACATTCATCAGCTACCATGGATTTTTTTATTGAATATCACTTTAATTGGCAGGAAGGACTTTGATAACACTTAACAAATCATTAGGTTGCTTTTCTTGTTAGAACAGCATTTGACTTGATGGGATCCATTCTCCAATTTACTTGGAAATTCATAAGTACAGATACATATGCATATATTCTTGCTACTAAATAAGATATTCAATATTTTCAAAATATTTACTGTTATTATCAGTGAACATTTTTAAGGAGACATTTTGTTTCATAATTGAAGTTATAGTAAGACACACCTAAAAGAAGGAGTTTGAAAATTGGGCCTCTTTGCAGTTCTTACAAGTGCAGGTGTGGATATACACTGACAAATACAAACGCCAGAGCAGCGCTGGGTGACTGGATGTACACGAAACACGCTAGCAGTCCTGAGAGTGGGAGTCATGTGGAGGACAGGGGCAAAGGGAAAGGACAGCACCTACTACAAAACCACTGCTGTGAATTTTAGAATGTTGCTTAACCTCTCTGGGCCTGGCGCTAAGACTATTTTCTACTTTCTACTCCTCCAGCCCTCCAATGAAATAGTGTCTGTAGGTAGGAGGTGGGAGGGCCAGCTCTTAACTAGAGCGACAAAGGTGCCAGCTTAGTTATGAAGCTCTAGCCCAATTTGGGGTTTTGTTTCTGTCACTCGAGAACAGTGGACAAGCTGAGAACTTGTACAAGAACAGGTTCCCCCATGCTAACTTGTTCTCATAATAGTGACTTTCTGAAATACAGATTTTGAACTTCACTCAAAAGCTACTTACCGACAATTTCTGCATGTCAAACACTGTGCTGGGTAATGCCGGAAGTAACTGGAAATGAGTTAAAACTTACTAGTATACAGAAGCATGAGGAAGACTAAAATACATTTTGTATGCCTGGAGTTCCTGTCCTTCATTCTGTCCTCAACAGATTAAAATGCAGAAAAACCTGTCCTATACAGTGCTAGTTTTTTACAGCTTAATATCATTGGTATTAACTTTTTCCTTTGTAGCTCTTTGTAAACAAGGCACCTACTCATCAAATGGGCTTGAGACTTGTGAATCGTGTCCACTGGGCAGTTATCAGCCAGCCGTTGGAGCCCGGAGCTGCCTCTCATGTCCAAGGAACACTTCGACTGTGAAGAGAGGAGCCGTGGACATTTCTGCTTGTGGAGGTGATCAAAGCCTTAGACATTGATATTTCTTCAAACCTACTAGGTTCCATGCAAAACCAAATGTCTACTGTATGCAAAGAATGTAAATAACTGTCCCTTTTATCCAGCCAGCCTATATGAACTATAAACACCCGCAGTATAAGCGTTGTGCTAGTGCTGCTAGGAATGCAAAGAAATAAGAGACTTGACCCTAAACTCAGCAGTGACAAACGTGTGGCTTCCTGAGATGGTAGAAATCATCTCAGCGAGGAACTGTTTCCTCATTTATAAAATGAAGTCCTGTCCAATGTTCCTTGAAACTCTAAAAATACATTCTATGAGTTATGGCTATTCATTCCCTGCAATGGGAAGGATTTCATGAGCAGTTATCCACTCTGGCTACACACACACAAAAATAATATCTGCACATTTACATCCATATTTTAAAAATACTGAAGTCCAATCTCTAACCCCAGACATTCTGATTTAATTTGTCTGGGTCTTTTCTTTTCTTTTCTTTTCTTTTCTTTTCTTTTCTTTTCTTTTCTTTTCTTCTTTTCTTTTCTTTTCTTTTCTCTTCTTTTCTTTTCTTTTCTTTTCTCTTCTTTTCTTTTCTTTTCTTTTCTCTTCTTTTCTTTTCTTTTCTTTTCTCTTCTTTTCTTTTCTTTTCTTTTCTCTTCTTTTCTTTTCTTTTCTTTTCTTTTCTTTTCTTTTCTTTTCTTTTCTTTTCTTTAAGTTTCCCCAGGTGATTCTAAAACAACAGGAAAAGTTGAGTACAACACTAATTTTGATTTTCAGATATTAGCGTGGAGGGCTTGTTAGGCAGTTTCTAATTCAGCGGGTCTGGTGTGAGCCTGCATTTCTAACTGGTTCTGCAGGGAAAAAGATTCTATTTGGCCCAGGGAGAGCATGTTGAGAGCCACCTGTTTAAATATAAATAAAAAGATTGGAATTCCAATTTTCAAATAGATCTAACATCCATATCGAGTACAGATTTCTAGCAGTGTAAAAACTGGAAGACAAAAACAGATAAAAGATGAAAATTTAGGATGACAGTGAAAACTGGAAATGAAGTTAAGGTCAGCCTATGTCCAGAAATTCCAAAAACTGCAACTACTTTGCAAAATCAATGGAACTGGATTAAAAATAAAAAAGGTTTTAGCCTCCCTCTGGTACATCAGAACAAAACAAGCATGCCTTTTTAAAAAGTTATAAAAATGACTTTAAAAAATTGTTTATTCTCCTCATTCTCTACATCCTTATTTAAAAACCTACAGTCTATGGCAATCTAAAAATTAAAAAGCTGTTCCCTTATTAAATAGGTGATATTTTTAAGAAGCAAATTTGCTGGTTTCCCATTTCTATCAAGTGATACCTACACAACACACCTTCCACTCTCGTTGCGTGCTAGTCATATATACGTACAGCTGCATTTAATTAGAGACTCCTAGACAGCAGCTGCTTAGGTTATGAGGATCTTTGAGTGTAGTGGTGGCCAAGGAAGTATCCAGCATTGCATCTTGGGAGATACAGTCCTCATAAGTTGAGTGCTACAGGAAAAACATATCGTGGGTTTTTATTTGCTCCATCTGTTAAAATTATCTCAGTCTAGTAGGATCACTATGGATGAGTCTGTTAGACCTGAGGAATGGGGCAAATAGTGTTCATCAATTTAATGTTTCACTGAAGAGAATTTAACTAGGATCTAATTGAAACTCATAAACCATGTCTGTTGTGTAATACCAGCTTTGGATTTTTTTTTATCTTAATAAAAGTCAAATAAGGCTTTATATTATAGTTGAAACAGATCTAATAGAGACTCTTATTTTGTCAGTATACAAACTAGTTTGGGGAGAAAGTCTGCAGTAAAAAAATTGTCTCTCCCTTTCTCCCTTTCTCTAACCACAAAAGAAACTAGGATTTTTACAGTGAAACAAGTTCGCATTTGACAACTTTTTTTTTCCTTTAGCTTTCCAAATAAGCCCCGAGGTTTGTCTAAACCAAATTATTGCAATTAAGCAATTATAATTTCCAGAAAGTCTCCAAACTTCTGGCAACTGGCCTATTTCTCCTAATATTCCTAGCACAAGTTTAACCACATTCTGTTGGAAAACACTCTCTCCTTTGGTGCTGGATAAACACCATTTTACTTTAAAATTAAATTTGTAGGAGTTATAAAACGGTCGCATATATATTTTCTATTTTTCAGTACATTCTCTTTTCTTTCTGTCTTCCTCCCTTCCTTTTTTCTTTCCTTTTTCTTAATTTGCTATCTTTCTTGATTGATTGATTGATTTTTATGGGCACGTTGTACAGTTTTTTCTAAGATATTACTTTCTGCATTCTTTAGTATACTGAACTTACAATATCTTTCACCAATATAGCCATTATATTTCAGTATATTACTATGTTAAAGTAATATTACTTGCTTTATGCATTTCATTTTTTATCATTTCTTAGGCTAGTAAATATTCTTGGGTCTGTGATTACAACAGTCTGAATTTTTTCATTTTTTTAAATGATTTTTAGCTGAAGGATAAGCCCCCTCCCCGCCCCCGACATATGATTTTTAGGTGGTGGTGTGTGTACACATGGTCCCTTAGGAGAAGGGACAGGAGGACAACACTTCTTACCCTCATCCTCTAGGAGAAAGTTAAAAGGAGACTCAGAATGGGAGTAGAAAATTTCACGTCAGCATTATTTATAATAGCAACCAAATAGAATCAACTTAAATGTCCAATAGTAGATGAAATGTTAGAGCAGTGATGGTCTGTCAATGGTATGTAATCTTTTTCATTTATTCAAAATCCTGTTATTTAATAATTTGGAAAATGATTTAGGAAATGCTCATGACATAATGTAAAATAGAAAAACCAGAATATAATATTGTATGGCCAATTCTAATTTTTATTGAGTTAATAACATTCAACACAGAGCAGATTGGCATAAATACAATAACTCCCTAGGAAGGAAAAACAAAACATTTATCTGGGTGATAGAATGGTCTGGGCAGTAAATATACACAAGAAAATGTATTAGCAATTCAGTGGCTTTCTTACAACCAAAGGTTAATGCATTTCTTTTCAGTAGGCAGCGTTACTTCACTGCACAAATGGTTTGTTTTTACCTTTACAGTACCTTGTCCACTAGGAGAATTCTCTCGCTCTGGGTTAATGCCCTGTCATCCTTGTCCTCAAGACTACTACCAACCCGATGCAGGAAAGTCCTTCTGCTTGGCTTGTCCCTTTTACGGAACTACAACCTTCGCTGGCGCCACATCCATCACAGATTGTTCCAGTAAGTTCCTCTATTTTACTTCCACATAATCCTTTGCCAGAGATTTTTGCTTGTCTCTGTGATAGCTTCAGTTCTGAATATTGGCATTTTCAGTGGATTTTGGTGTCTAGACTTGTTAAATTGTCCTTTTGATGTCTTTTTTATGACAGTGACTCAAATATTCTTAATTTGGGAATTTTGATAACTTCCAGTTTCTTTCTAAGGGTCTAGAACAGTGATGGCGAACCCATGACAAGCGTGTCAGAGGTGACACGCGAACTCATTTTTTTGGTTGCTTTTTCTTTGTTAAATGGCATTTAAATATATAAAATAAATATCAAAAATATAAGTCTTTGTTTTACTGTGGTTGCAAATATCAAAACATTTCTATATGTGACATGGCACCAGAGTTAAGTTAGGGTTTTTCAAAATGCTGACACGCAGAGCTCAAAAAGTTTGCCATCACTGGTCTAGAATTTAATGACATATCCCATCCATCTCTGTGTTTTCTTTTTTAATATTACTAAAACAAAATGTATGTGGCTTTGTCTACTCTGAGAACCTGAATCTTTTTTTTAAATATATTTTTATTTCAGAGAGAAAGGGAGAGGGAGAGAGAGATAGAAACGTCAATGATGAGAGAGAATCATTGATCAGCTACCTCCTTCATAACCCATATTGGGGATCGAGCCCACAACTCAGGCATGTGCCATGACCTGGAATCGAATGGTGACCTCCTGGTTCATAGGTCAATGCTCAACCACTAGCCATGCCAGCCAAGCAAGAGTTAGAATCTTGACCATAGTACTTAAATAGAGTCTACATATTAGCAAGATCTACCACACAACAATATGTTTCCCTAATGTTTTCCTATTAATTTCATCAGGTTTTGGTTCTACTTTCTCAGCAGCAGAGGAAAGTATAGTGCCCCAAAGTTCTCTGGGACATATCAAAAAGAAGTATGAAGTTGGCAGTCAGGCAAGTCCATTTTCTATGTATAAAATTTTCCCTAGTGAGATGTTTGGAAAACAATTTGTCATTATACATGCCCCACAGAGGAAAATTATCAGAGTTGAAACTTTAAATAATAAAGACTCATAAATATTATCCAGGAGTAATTGTATTTACTTGTGACTTCTGATAAGAACTTTCCAAAAATTTAGTATCAGAAGTACCAAGTGCCAAAAATTGAATTTTTTTCCAAGAAATTTTTAGGATAGAGAATGTATATATATGGGGAGCCTTTTGGCTCACTAGTAATTAATGTACCATAAGCATAACCTATCATTTGAGTAAGGGCATTTGGATTAGCCAAAAGCATTTTCTGATTTGCAGGAAGAGTTAGTGAACTTTCATGTAAATTACTTAAAATCTTTTTGTCTGAAAAAAAATCATTTGTTGGGGTACGGCCTGGGTTTAAAAAAATTTAGAAGCGTAACTCATGAACATAATTAAATTAATTGTTCAGCCATTACTCTGAATTAACCCTGCCTAATGTCATGATAATTTCCTTGGCTCTAAGTATTTTTATGGAGGATAATAAGGTTTTATGTCTTATTTCAACTTCCTACAGCCTCATCCAAACATAATGATTTGTAAGGGGTTCATAAATCATATTTGAAGCTAACTTAGTGAACACCGATTTTGTAAGGACTTCTAGAGCTGTAATCATCAACCTTAGAGACATAGTAGAATCCACTGGTCAACTTTTAAAAATAATGATGCACAGATCCCACTCCCAGAGATCCTGATTTATCCGGTCTGGATTGGGGCACTATCCTCAGTATACTTTTTAAATACCTCAATGGATGCTAATGTGCAGCCAGCATTTAAAACATTGTTTGGGTTTACCAGAACATCACTAACATATATGCAGACCATTTAGCTTGAGTTAACTCACCTGAACTCACCAGCTGTCTGATGTTGCAAACCTTCCAACTCGCTAGTCAGGATCTCTTTGAAATGAATAGAGTGTTTTGTCTCTGATGGATTTCTTTTCTGTCAAGGGCAGGTTTTCCACGAATGCTTCTTAAACCCCTGCCACAATAGTGGGACCTGCCAACAACTTGGCCATGGTTATGTCTGCCTCTGTTCACCTGGATATACCGGTAAATAAAGGAATGCAAATTTCAATGTGTTTTTCATAATATGAGATGATTGTGACTTGCAGTATCAAACTTTGGAACATTAAAAATAAACCCTGTAAGATACATTAGGCCGTATCAATGCATAAAAACTTAAATAAGATAAACTAATAGGTGAAAAAACATATACGTATCTTACAAATGACAATTTTCTTTGCACATTTTGGAAGAAGAATAAAGAATTATATTTTCAATGAAAAAATCTAATTATATCTTACAATTTAAATTGGAATACAGTCCCAGGGGTCATGTCCAAGGTTTCATTCTAACACAAAATGCGTGATACTCAACACAGAACAAGTTGTCCAGCATGAACATTTTAAACAAACTCCAGTTTCCCTCATTTGCTTCACACTAGTGGACGTTCTTGTGAATAGCTTTTGTTTATTGCTTTGTTTCTATCTTTCTGGAAGTTGTGCTTAGAAAAACAATATGGCTTTGGACTTGATTATGTAGGAATCATGTGACTTATGTAAGAATTATGTTTTCTTGCAATTTGGTTCGCTTTCTGGCTCAGTCCTGAAACATCATTTTTGGTGGGAAATAGTACCTTACAGTTGCAATTTATTTGAAATCATGTTTTCTTCTAGAAATTAAGTTTTTGCATCTTTCTGAATTTTGTCCAACCAACATGAAACCTTTTTAATGAGAACAATATCTAAATAAAAGAATTCACCGCAAAATAAACAAAAAGAAAGTTGGAAAACAAATGGAGTCCAAGGCTATCAAAAGTATTGGCATTCTACTTACCATAGCTTGCTTGTGTGTGCTTGTTTCAATTTTTATTTAAAAATTTTTCCTGACATTTTATAAGAAATAATGGATCTGTTCCTAGAATTGTACAGATGAGTAATGGTTGAGAAAGATCATACTATAGGACAGTGGTTCTCAAATATTGATGTGTATCAGAATCATCTGGAGGGCTTGAGAAAACAGATTGCTGGACTACTGCCCCAGAATCTCTGAGAATTTGCATTTCCACCAAGTTCCAGGTTATGCTGATGCTATTGATCCAGGGGCCACACTTTGAGACCCTCTGGTAGAGAGGAAGACATGGTTTCCAGCAGAGCTAGCCCATAGATTGCCTATTTGCATTCTGTAGGAAGATGCAGTACCGCTCGGGCACCGGGCATGTGAGTTGAGTTCTGGTAGGATTTAGCTCCACCTCTACCCTTCAGCCAAGTGACCTGGTAGCAGGTATATTTGACTTTATATTTTCCTTTTTTAAAAAATATATTTTATTGATTTTTTACAGAGAGGAAGGAAGAGGGAGAGAGAGTTAGAAACATCGATGAGAGAGAAACATCAATCAGCTGCCTCCTGCACACTCCCCACCGGGGATATGCCCGCAACCAAGGTATATGCCCTTGACCGGAATCGAACCTGGGACCCTTGAGTCCACAGGCTGAGCCAAACTGGTCAGGGCATTGACTTTATATTTTCCACTTTAGAATTAACCAACTTCCTGGCTCCATTTTATGAGTCCAGGTTTCCCTCCCCTCCCAGTACTTCTAACTGGAGATAGTTTGCTATCTTTTATGTATCCTTATAAGGATATCTGCAATCTGTTTAGAAAGAGGCAGTACCTTTATTAAATACTTAACCTAGATGGTAACACTTAATGAGTACTGGCCTTTTCTTTTCCACCACCACGCTCCATAAATTCAGATTATGGAGATAAAAACCTTGTAATGACCATGACTCTACTTTTCTTACTCCCTCCCTCTGATTGTCCTTCAGTGTTTGGTTTGCATTTTAGGCTCAAAGTGTGAAACAGACATTGATGAATGCAGCTCACTGCCATGCCTCAACAATGGAATTTGTAAAGACCACGTAGGGGAATTCATTTGTGAATGTCCATCTGGTTACACAGGTAAGGGGAAAGTTTTTTATTTTCACATTAAACCTTGAAATCATTGACATTTCGTTGCTGAAAATCAAAACCATAATGAGACATCACCTCACGCCTCTTAGAATGGCTTTTATCAAAAGATAGGTAACAGTGTTGGCAGGGTATGAAGAAAAGGAAACTCTCATGCGCTGTTGGTGGGAATGCAAGTTGTTAAAGCCACAGCCATTACAGAACACAGTATGGAGAGTCCTCAAAAAGTTACAAGTAGAACGACCATATGATCCAGCAATTTCACTTCCGGGTGTCTATCCAAGGAAATGAAGTAACTATGCCAAAGAGCTGTCTGCAGCCCTGTGTTCACAATAGCCAAAATATGGAAACAGCAGAAGTGTATATCAAGGGATGGAGGATAAAGTAAATGTGGTAGATATAGATACATCTTTGTGGGCACTATCTAAGTGAGATCTAAGTGAGATAAGTTAGACAGAGAAAGACCTATGACCTCACTTCTATGGAATCTGAAAAAGCCAAACTCAATCTTTCTCCCACCGCCCCCATGGCGGATCCAAGCAGCCTGGACAGTGGGAGAAATGGCAACAGCCAGGCCACTTGGGTTCTGAAAGGCTCTCAATGCCAAGCAGCCCACAGGCACTGGACGTACACCTGTCCTGCTGCCAGGACGCCCAAGGGGAAGGTCAGCTCCATTGCCAAGGGGCAGCGAAGGAGGCGCCATAAAGGAGATCAGGAAGGTCGTCAGCTAAACCTGCTCCTGCAAAAGCGAAAGTGAGGCCAGAAAAAGCAGCAGGAACGATAAAGACAAAAAAGTACAAACAAAGGGAAAAGGGGAGCAAGGGGGAAGCAGGCCGAAGTGGCTAACCAGGAGCCTGAAGATCTACCTGCTGAAAACCGAGAAGCAAAAACCAAGGGAGTCCAGCCTCGGCTAAAGCAGGAGAGGAAGAAGCCAAGTCTGATTAATGTCATGCACCACGTCTCCTCAGTAGTCCCTGTCCCCCTTGTTGTATAATCCACAGGAATATTTTCAACTATTTCGGGAACCAGTTTTGTAGTCTCTCTAGAAGCCTTTTTTAGAAGGGAATCCCACTTCATCCCATTTTTTGACGTGTAGATGCTGTTTTGTGAGAGGGGAAATAATTTGCTGGTTGTCTGTTGGATTTTTTTGTACAGCCAGAAAACAGTGGGATATTGGACAGGGGAGCTTTGGTTGTCTCGGACATCAGCTTAACCTTCCGTTGATGGGGGTAGTTTTTTATCCTTAATACATATCAGTTTCAATGGCAATTTGAGATTAGTTGATCACTTCACTTGTCTTTAACATTTTAAACTACTTCCATTCTCATGCTTTTGGTAGAATTGTTTCCTAAATAAACCACCTGTGACCTTGGCTCTCCCCATCAGAATTTTCTGCAACATCTTTGGTGTGATAGTCCAGTTTCCCTAGTAACATTGTTAGTGTGCTGTGAAAGGTTGAAAATTTGATTATGTATATCTGATATTAAATTGTGAATTAATGGGACTTTTATGTAACAGCATATCAACATTTGAAGATATTGGTACTTGATACTCTATTAAGGAAAATTAGCCTCCAAATTTGAAGCTGGAAAGTCACTGGGCTGTGTAGAAAATAATCACAACTATACAACTTTAGGTTTTGGGTACATATATTAAGAATTGTGTATAAATTGAAATGTCTGTGTACTTACCCTCAAAACAACCAATAAAATCTTAGAAAGAAAGAAAAAAAGCCAAACTCATAGAAACAGAGTGGAATGGTGTTTGGTGGGGGTGGTGGGTGGGAGTATTCAGTCTGTGTTATTTAAGGGTATAAACCTGCAACTAGTAGATAAATAAATCATCTTAAATATTCAAGGGATAAACTCAGAAAAGAGTGAACAACTAGCAATATGATAAAAAAGTTTAAAACAAAGTGACATTTATCTACTTAATTAAAAATAGCTAGATATTCCTGGTTGCCATTTTCCATTGCATCCTGAAAATATCCATTTTCTTGCTAGTAAAGTTTTGCAGTTCACACAATAGAAGAAAATGTTTTATTTCAATGTATTTGGCAAAGAGCAAATTTTTTTACAAACACAGTAGCCATGATTTCCAATTGTTCTGCTTTATTCCTGAACAACTCACTTGGAAAGTATTAGTCTTAACCTTCTCCAGCTAAGATATTTTATGATTCTTTTCAGGTCCACTATGCGAAGAAAACATAAATGAGTGCAGCTCCAGTCCCTGTCTAAATAAAGGCGTCTGCGTGGATGGTGTGGCTGGCTATCGCTGCACATGTGCAAAAGGATACATAGGTAGGATGTTCCCATTCTTCCTGCATTGTCTTAAAGTCCTATAAAGCACCACAGATTATTACATGTACTAACGTTATACAGTCTATGTTAATTTTCTGATTTTATAAAGGTGTCGTGATTATATAAGAGAAAGTCCCTTTTTTGCCATGAAAGCCCTTATTTTTTGAGAAATTTCTAACTGAGGCATTTAGAGATAAAATGGTATCACATCTGCAATTTACTCGTAAACAGTTCAGAAAAAATAATGTCTGTGTGTATTTGTAAAGAAAGAGACATAGACAGAGAAAGAGAGAAGATATGAGTTTATATGGTAAGACAAGTATTCAAGAAGGAACTGGAGATAAAGTATAGAAGATTAATATTGAAATGGTTGCTAAATAATATGGTTAAATATATAATTGATAAAGAGGAAGTCCAAAAAAATGGACAGTGAAGAAAAGAGGCAATGTCAAAGAAACAGAGGACATTTTTTTAACTAAATGTGCTAGTTTTACTTTTTAACGTTATTAAAAAATAGCTTACGAGAGAGAAACATCAATGACAAGAGAGAATCATTGAACTGCTGCCTGCTGCCTGCCCTCTACTGGGGATGGAGCCCACAACCCAGGCAAGTGCCCTGACCAGGAATCAAACCATGACCTCCTGTTTCATGGGTCACTGCTCAACCACTGAGCCACACCAGCCAGGCTATTTTTACTTTTTAACATTCTCCCAAGTAGATGTCTACTACTAATGTTAGTTTCAGAAAGACATAAGGTAAAAAGAGTAGATTATCAAAAACGCAGTCCTAAGTGACTTAGAAAAACGGGAGCTCATTAAAGAATGGATCTCAAACCAGCTTGATAGGCAGTGGCTCTACAGCCTGCCTTTACAAGCAGCATCTTCCAAGTCAGAATTTGGATCACAGTCCTCCCAAGGGATTAACTGGGCTCTTTCTCCTCCTCACCATCCCCAGGCCTGCACTGTGAGACAGACATCAATGAATGCCAGTCAAGCCCATGCTTAAATAATGCAGTCTGTGAAGATCAGGTTGGGAGGTTCTTGTGCAAATGCCCAGCTGGATTTTGGGGTACCCGGTGTGAAAAAAACATGGATGAGTGTCTCAGTCAACCATGCAAAAACGGAGCTACTTGTCAAGATGGCGTCAATAGCTTCAGGTACAAGACTAAGTCTGGTTCTTTCTACTATTTTTCTTTACTTAATTGTTCAGTCATTATGTAGTCTTTATAGAGCATTATCTTGAGTCCCAGGTCAGCCATTCCCAAATTCTACCCCAAGAATAGGCTACAGTAGAGTCTCCCCACCACCTGCGGTTCTGATTCACTAAGTCTGGCATAGAGTATATAATTTTAAAATAGGCAAACTGTATGATTTAAATTTCCCAATCATTGCGGTGCTCAGCTGCCTTTGGGAACTGCTGTTTTATATAGTCATCCCTCCATAGCCATGGGGAACTGCTTCCAGCACTCCCAGGGATGCTCAAGTCCCTTATATCAAATGGCCTAGAATTTGCATATAATCTACATACATCCTCCCATATACTTTAAATGGTCTCGAGATTATTTACAATACCCATTACAATGTAAATACTATGGAAATAGTTGTTATACTGTATTGTCTAGGGAATGACAAGAAAATAGTCTGTGCATGTTCCGTACAGACGCAACCATCAACCATCGGACGCCTAACTGCTTAGTACATGTCAGCTACACATAATAATTTTTTGTAGAATACTTTCCATACGTGATAAACGGAATCTGCAGATGTGGAACCCATGGATACAGGCTGCCAGTGTACTTGGGAAGGCAATAAAAGATGAAAGAAAACACAATTACACAAGAAGCAAATACAGAAGCACTGGACTTTTAATATTTTTTTTCCTAGAACAGCTATGGGGAGAGACACTCCCAATGTGTGGGTAATACTTCATCTTGATCAGAACCACCTCCTACTAAAACATTTCAAATAAATGTTGTGTTAACTAGGTTTATTAGCTGAACTAGCAGTTAAAGTTTTGATGTGGAGCATTTCAATTGTTATAGTCCTTGAGACACGTTACCATAAGTGGGAGAGTTCCATCCTCTCCTGCCTTTCTGCAGCTGTTCTCATCGTTACATTTTGTTTTCCTTCAGATGCCAGTGCGCGGCTGGCTTCACAGGGCCGCACTGTGAACTGAACATCAATGAATGCCAGTCTAACCCGTGTAGAAATCAAGCCACCTGTGTGGATGAATTAAACTCATACAGTTGTAAATGTCAGCCGGGATTTTCAGGCAGCAGGTGTGAAACAGGTATATATGTATGTAGTATTCACAGCAATACTAAAGATAGTGATATAACAGCATCAATTTTTACCTGCACCTAGCACCACCTATATGGGAAAAAAAAAACTATAATAAGCATTGTTTAATTATTTAATCTTCAGAGCCATCTAATAAACTAAGTAATCTTATCTGCAATAGCACAGATGAGGATATAGAAACTTAGAGGTGTAAGGGGGGAATGAGAAAATAGAATTTAGTAGAACTCTTCACATTCTATAGGTTTAGAAGGGACGCTTTGATAAGCTCCTTGATTAAGGAGGTCGCAGGCCATGGACATGTTTGAGAATCACTGCTAAACTGCTTGCTCGGGGCACTTGGGCCTTTTAACTATAGGACTTTTGTTTTGAGTGAGGTATGTAGGGTCGGGGCAGAGCTGAATTGGTCATGAACTAGGGAAGAGCCAGAGCCCTGAGTAGGGATGGAATGGGTGCCCTTAAGCTAGTTGCCTCTCCTCTCCTGCACCAGTTACCCCACTCTACTGGGTCGTTCCCAACAGCATCCCGCCATGCTTTAGGGTCTCTCATCTTTAGTAACTCCCCAGCCCTACCTCTCCTTCCAACCACGCCCTGTATCTCTGTTTCCTTTCACTACTGAGTATTTTTTCTATCTTAGATACTCACCGATTATTTTACTTAAAAGAATGTGTTTTATATTTTGTAAAGAATATATTTTTAATTTTGAAACCACTTCTCAGGTCATCCTATTTACTGCAGTGGCTGCTATGACAGTAGCCCTGTGTACCTGCTGCTTACTTTAGTCATTGACAAACGCCCTGCAAGCACCATGGTCTGCACACTGTCCTTATTTGTTGCAGAACAGTCTACGCGCTTTAACCTGGATTTTGAAGTTTCTGGTACCTATGGTTACGTCATCCTAGACGGTGTGCTTCCCTCTCTCCACGCCATAACCTGCACGTTCTGGATGAAATCCTCTGATCTCAACAACTATGGAACGCCGATCTCCTATGCGCTGGAGAATGGCAGCGACAATACCTTCCTTCTGACCGATTACAATGGGTGAGCAGAAATGGCAGGAAGTCTTCTCCCAGCACCAAGTTAGACCTCACACTGGGCCTGGGGAGCAAGGGGTCAGGTGCCTCGCATGATAGCAGGGTGACAGTAACCAAAGGGAACATATGGACAAGTTCTGTAAGAGGGCACTTTTCATGATAATACCTTATACATGTATTTTGCTACTTACTAAGCATTTTCTTGTTGTGTTACTAAGTACTGCTGTTTACTAAGCACTTCATTTGATCTTCACATGTCCTGGGGAACTCATGCACATTTAACATATTAAAACAAAAGTTCCAAAGACACTAAATGGTTTGTCTCAAATCTCACACTCTGAGAGTGGCAAAGCCAAGTCTCCGACTCGGACTCGTAGAGCTTTGCTCCTTCTTGTCCATATCAGGGCCTCCAAGGGTCAAGGGATATCAGCGACATCGCTGACCTGTGAGAGACACATAGTGAGTGTGAAGCAGTCTACAAACTCGGGTGTGCAAGATGACATTTCTTTTTCCTTTTTGGATCAATTAATTTCAGTTTCAGGGCCCCATCCCTTCGGGCTATCAGGCCCCTCAACCTCAGCTATTTCTCTGACTACTGAGTGGGTTCTTGCCGATTAATTCATAGAACCCAGAGTTTTGATAAAATCCACAGACCTGGACAGGACTCCCAGTATTGGTCATCTGCCCACATTACTAATCCCTGAGCTGTCCGTTGCCTCAGCTCTGTGGTCCCTTCAGAACCACTGCTCTTCACCACATGTGGAATCCTTGGCGAGGCTGAGGTTTATACCTTCCATCTGAATAGATTCTGTGGTTTACTGCATGGCCTGTTCCTCTCAGACACCTCCAAATTTGTGGCCTATTCTACTGAGAAGGTTGCAAGCCTCAAAGGTCCACTGAGCTCTCTTTCCAGAGGAAAACCAGTATTATAAAAATATTATTTCATCATAAAGATCCTGGAATAGGGACTAAGAAGATGCCAGGAAAGATATGTAATGAGTTCTTATCAGTTTTCCCTAATCTTGTCTTTTTCTCCATTTGCTTTTGAAAGTATTTCACTTTAAACTGCTTATTATCTTTGACATTTCCCTAAGTGACGGAGTTGTTGGAACCCTCATGTGTTGGTCACCTTTGTTTAATTCTAGTTATTATTTTCTTTGGATCCACATGCTTTATCTGCCACGTGATAGCTTTGGCAATAAAGAGACAGACTTATTTTCCAAAGTTTGTTCCTGATTTTAAGAACATACATCTAGAGGAAAGGCAACCATTCTATGCTTGTACAACTCTCATTGCTTGCACTTTATTTTTGCATTTTATTTTTTTAAATATATCTTTATTGTTGAAAGTATTACAGATGTCTCTTTTTATCCCCCCATTGATCCCCTCCACCTCGTCTCCACCCCCTAACCTTCACCACACTATTGTCCGTGTCCATGGGCTATGCATATAAGTTCTTTGGTTAATTTCTTCTTGCCTCCCCACCTTCCCTCTAAGATTTATCAGTATGTTCCAGGCTTCCATGTCTCTGGATCTATTTTGTTCATCAGCTTATTTTGTTCATTAGATTCCACATATGAGTGAGATCATGTGACACTTGTCTTTCTCTGACTGGCTTATTTCACTTAGTATAATACTCTTCAGGTCTCTCAAAGGGTAAGAGATCCTTCTTTATTACAGTTGCATAGTAACCCATTGTGCAAATGTACCACAGCTTTTTTTTATCCACTCATCTACTGATGGCATTCCTTTCATTCTTGGCATACTCTCTCCAGAGTGGAAGGTCAGTTAAATTGGACCAATGTGCCTCAACTCATCCTAAGACTTTTTCCTAGTCCTCCATGTTTAAGAAACACAAATATTCAGTGAGCTACGATAAAGCGTAATTAGTAAATCAAATCTGCTTCTGTGAAATATGACCAAATTGGGGGTGGGGGGAAGAAGTAATGGTTTTATATAAAGTGCTTTACCCACATGGAAAGAGAAGAAAAAATTAGAAGCATGCCCCACAGGTGGGATTACAACATATGACTGATGACTATGTCCCCTGGAATCTTTCCACAGCTGGGTTCTTTATGTGAATGGCAAGGAAAAGATAACAGATTGTCCCTCCGTGAATGACGGCAGTTGGCATCATATTGCAATCACATGGACAAGTGTGGATGGAGCCTGGAAAGTCTATATTGATGGCAAATTATCTGATGGTGGTATGGGTCTCTCCATAGGTTCGGCCATACCTGGTATGTCTTAGCAAAAGAAATAGAATTGTGTTAATCACTAAAAGTGGTGGTGCTTAGGTAAACATGGAGTTGGCTAGCTTTGTTGTGTTATGTTTTAGAGAAAGATCAATAAGTCTTTCTTTTATTTACTACCCCCTGACTATCCAGACGGTAAAGTATCAGAAGGTTTTTCTAGGTGTGCTTTGTGACCCTCTGTGTAGGAAATGCATTTGGGGCTTTAGTAAGACTATCAAGAAGCATTTTGAACTAACGTGTCTTCCAAGGAGATCAATTGCTGGTGTTGTTTGTATGTTGGTTTTGTTTTGTTTTATGATCCGTCTTCCCAGTATACAAATATATCCAGTGCACAAGCTGGAGCACTAAAAATCAAAACTCCCCTCTATAAACACTTTTAGAAAAATATTTGCAGAGTCTTAGTTTGAAGGAAAGCAAAAGTATTAGGCGATCCAGGGTTCTCAGCGTTGTACAAGGCAATAAGCTTGCTCTATAGAGATTTTTCTATGATGTGCATCAAATGAGGAGGAATGGTTGGCAGTTTAATAAATGTGGAAACATTGTAAGTGTTTCAACAGGAAGTGGCTTTACCAGGTAAAGTAGGGTGGAGGTTTCTTGTTTTCAACTATCTCTTCCCTGGGTGGTGGGATGGCAGATATCTTTTATTTTCTTCTTTATTCTTTCCTGATTATTTTCATAATGATTTCATTTATAATTTTAAAAACAGCGCTTCTGTCTCTTAAAAAATTAAATCCTGATGGAAGAGTGAAAAATAGGTTAAAGGAATGGGGAGGGGAGGGAAGCTGTAATAGTGTCCACCCAGGGAGATGGTTGTCAGATCTCAGCAGTAAGAATGAATTGGAGTCAAAAAATATTGCAGAACCCATTTAACAGAGCTCAGTGAACGACTGGTTTCAGTTTGGATGAAGAAGCTTATTGAAGAGTCTGTAAGCTAAGATAGGAATTCTAGGGGAAGCACAATTACCAGAGCAAGAGTTGGAGTCGGGGAAGATTCTGTATTTGGTTTTAGACATAATGTGTTTGAATTTTGATCGCAGGAATACGTTCAACCAAAAACATAGGCTGACACAACTTTATATCAAATTGACAGTTGTTTTTAGTGATAAGGTCTGATTGGCAAGGATTCAGCATGGTTGAATTGTATAAAGGTTGTGATACAGCCTTTCTGGGAAACAATTTAGAAACTTCCATCAAGAGCCTTAGAGAAATGCTTTGCATGCAATCAACAATTCAACTACCAAAAATCAAATATTTATGTACTAATATATTTATCTCAAGGTATCCAATTCGAAGTGGTTGTTTAGTTAATTAAGCAAATTATAGATTATTGTACATTCATATAAAATAACTATTAAAACTCATGAAGCAAGAACATGTTCAAGAAAGAAAACAAGATTGAAATATCATGTATATTGTGATCCTGAGTTGTGTGTTTTTAAATATCACATACATGCACACTAAAAAATAAATTAAAATTAAAATATAACCTAGAAGGAAATACACAAAAGTATTAAATGATTATTTCTGGGTAGGGTGAATTCTTTATATTTATTTTTTTTAAGTTTCCATCCATGTGTATGTATTAATTTTTAATTATTCATTTTATAAGAAAGAGATGTAGGTTGGGAAATCTTGAAAGAGGGATCTATAGACATCGATCGGCAGGTGAGTGAGGTCAGATAGGGAGAGCAGTTGAAGGAAGAAGAGAGGAAGTGGGGGTAGGATCCTAGGGGCATCAGCATCTAAGAGGCAGGCAGAGAAAGGAGCAAAAAGGTCCAGGGAGAACCAGGAGAGGATGTTCTCATGGAAACCACATGGCACCAACAAGGCTCCTGGCAGAGAGCCGGTGGCACACACAAGGAGGCTAACTGAAGAGTCGAATGAAGGGACTCTCTTCAAAAGTATGGCCAAGGTTAAGAGAACCAAAATAAGATAGCAAAACACCCCATGAGTAGCATCAATGGAAAGTCATGAGGGATGGGCCTGAAACGATAAGGAGTGAGAGCTGTTGCCAGAATTTAGGCGAACCTTTAACGCTGGAGAGAAATCCGTCAGTGGGAGTAGTGATGTCAGACAGAGGAAGGCAGCCACTATCCTCCATTGCCTGGGAGGAAAGTATCCAGGATATTAAACCTCATCTCATCTTCTTATCTCGGGCTGGTCCTTCCATTTGCCGTAGTGCTGGGGTGTTATCCTGCATCTAGAAGGGTTCAGGAATCTGGAGAAGGGGCTGTATGTAAATTAATAAAGATACTAGAAATATAAATTTGGAATACATGGGGGATCCAGAGGAGATTTAGCTAGAGTAACCAAGTCCTCTCTCCGAATCTGGGAATCACTGGACCCAGGGCTTTTATTCCCACATTTTGCCTTATAGCAAAGCAAATATACATATCAAAGGTAAGGTTTGGTAAACAGTAAGATTATCAGGTTGGGGGAACTGCCTTCAGCTGTTCAGCTGTTTGGCCAGCAGGCAATAATATATGCAGATCTTCAGGTTTGGGGAAATGCTTTCAGCTACTCCAGCAGGAAATAATATGTACTTCAGCCCTGCTGAAGCCTCAAGGTTCCATCAACCTTTTGATGAACTTCTTGCATTTGTGACCTGCTGGAATTAGCCTCCAGCACCCCAGGAACAGAAAGAAGCCAGAGGGACAAGGAAATGATGTGGTGCAGTCCATAAGTGTCAGCCTTTGGAGCACAAAGTAGAGTGGAAGGGTGGAGGTTAGCTCTGGAGGGACAGACACAGACCACCCAGTACAAAAGGTCAAACAGTTAAATAGAATGAAATGGACAATAGAAACATGGTACAGAGAAGTCACCAGAGGTGAATATTGAAGAATTTCCATTGGATTTGGCGATTAGGTGGCCACTGGCAACTTTAGAAGATTCCTAGGAATCTGTGAAAGAAATGTAAGCATTGTAGGCTTAAGACAGAAAAAAAAGAGTATCAACTGAGAGTCTACTATGGAGGATAATTGCCTAGGAGAAAGGAGGCCAAATAGGACTTGCTATTTTGTTCACATAAAATTATACATGCATATATATGTATACCTAGTTTTATAGTTAGATTTTTATAAATCTAATATTTAAATACAACTTTATTTTAAGTTGTTTAATAAAACATTAAATTTGTCCTTATTGATAAAACATGCAGTAAATGTACATACTGAGCTTTTTAATAATTTTCCCTAATACATTTGTGTTGGCTGTGCTTTTGTTAAGTTAGCATTTTAGGAATAACAATCAGACAAGTTGCCCTCCTTTTTTTCTCTTCTCTCTTTAGGTGGCGGTGCAGGTTTGGGGAAATGCTTTCAGCTACTCCAGCAGGAAATAATATGTACTTCAGCCCTGCTGAAGCCTCAAGGTTCCATCAACCTTTTGATGAACTTCTTGCATTTGTGACCTGCTGGAATTAGCCTCCAGCACCCCAGGAACAGAAAGAAGCCAGAGGGACAAGGAAATGATGTGGTGCAGTCCATAAGTGTCAGCCTTTGGAGCACAAAGTAGAGTGGAAGGGTGGAGGTTAGCTCTGGAGGGACAGACACAGACCACCCAGTACAAAAGGTCAAACAGTTAAATAGAATGAAATGGACAATAGAAACATGGTACAGAGAAGTCACCAGAGGTGAATATTGAAGAATTTCCATTGGATTTGGCGATTAGGTGGCCACTGGCAACTTTAGAAGATTCCTAGGAATCTGTGAAAGAAATGTAAGCATTGTAGGCTTAAGACAGAAGAAAAAGAGTATCAACTGATAGTCTACTATTGGAGGGTAATTGCCTAGGAGAAAGGAGGCCAGATAGGACTTACTATTTTGTTGACATAAAATTATATATGCGTATATATGTATACCTAGTTTTATAGTTAAATTTTTATAAATACAATATTTAAATATAACTTTATTTTAAGTTTAATAAAACATTAAATTTGTCCTTATTGATAAAACATGCAGTAAATGTACATACTGAGCTTTTTAATAATTTTCCCTAATACATTTGTGTTGGCTGTGCTTTTGTTAAGTTAGCATTTTAGGAATAACAATCAGACAAGTTGCCCTCCTTTTTTTCTCTTCTCTCTTTAGGTGGCGGTGCATTAGTTCTTGGGCAAGAGCAAGACAAAAAAGGAGAGGGATTCAACCCAGCGGAGTCTTTTGTGGGCTCCATAAGCCAGCTCAACCTCTGGGACTATGTCCTGTCTCCACAGCAGGTCAATTCCATTTTCAGTGTATGACAGTAATGAGATACAAAGGTACAAAACTAGTAAAAATGTGAACAGCCTAATGATGCCCTATCTCATTGCAACCTCTGGGTTTTCACACTTCGCCTCCAGTATCATTTGAGGCTATGATCGTAGACTAAGCCAGCTAGAGGTTATCGACAGTAACTTTCAATAAATCCCCTTTTCAGTTTCTTGGTGATGTTTTTAAATTGTTTTGGACATGATTATTTTATAAAACCTTGTTATTTCAGAGCTGGTAAAGATCATAGAGAATAATACTTCAAACCCCTCTCCTTAAAGTGTAGGAATTTAGGAGTGGCATAAAATTATACATAGAGAGTTACAGATGAGTAAGTAGTTAAAGCAGTCCAGTGGCCTGGGTTCAAATCCCTGTTTACCACAAACTTGCCATGATGATTTTGAACATGTTACTCCCTCTCTCTAAGCTTTAGGGGGTGTGTGTGTGTGTGTGTGTGTGTGTGTGTGTGTGTGTGTGTGTTTTATCTATGAAGATAAACAGAACGGCATAGTGGAGGTTGGGATTTAACCTAATCCTGCATGCACTGTCATGGTGTTGTTTTTCACATGCTAAGGGCTTGATAAATGCTTGCTCTTATTATTAGTGGCAGAGCTTTTCTAAGCTTTTATTGCCTCAATTTTAGATCAGAGATAGAAGGCAGGACAATGGAGAGAGGGGACCTCTACAGAACCTTAACAAACTACAAAGCTTCAGACAAATTCTCTGCATAGACTTTCCGAATTTCCAGCAATCATAAAATATTTGGGAAAGGGAAAGATGGAGGTGAAGAGGAGTGTGGGGGAGAGAATTTTCCTGTTGCCCAAAATCATGTCTTATAAAAGCCTGCTTCCCTCCACCCCACCTCATCCAAAATCTGCAGATATTTTTAACAGGACTACGTTAAGACATAATAACTCTGTCTCAGAGAAACAAGGAAGGTTTACCTAAAGATGTGTTTTTAAATCTTCAGGTGAAATCATTGGCTACCTCATGCCCAGAGGAGCTCACCAAAGGAAATGTGTTAGCCTGGCCTGACTTCCTGTCGGGAATTGTGGGGAAAGTGAAGATCGATTCCAAGAGCATATTCTGTTCTGGTTAGAGTTTCCTTCTTCCGTAGACTCTGCTATCTCTTGACTACTTTGGGTTTCTAGCAAAAGGAGACACTTTGAAATTCTGTTAGTCAAAGAGTGTGTGCCCTTTAGTCTGTTGGTTAACAAATAGTTCATTTTTACCCAACTTCATCCAAAGGATTTTATTTAACTACTAAATATATTCTGTGTAACAGGGTACAAATTAATTGTGGAATAAACTTGGACAAAGGTAGAATAAGATAAGGAAAATCGGACGAGAAGAGGGATATAGTCAGTTTTTAACTGCCCAGCAAAGTCCTGTCCTCCCATTTGAGTTGGCACTCTCTCGGCTCTGCACTTGCTAGCAGCCCTGCAGGGGCAGGTAGCACAGTGGATGTTATAACCTGCACATTTGATAGTCAAACTCGGAATGATCAAAACTGCACCTTAAAATTCAGTGTGTTTAAACAAATTTCTAAATATATTCTATATTCATAACTTATAAGAACATTTTAATTATTCCTAAAATATTTTCTTTAAAATATCTATATATCTATATCTATATCTGTATATCTATCTATATCTACCTAAAGATATAGATAAATAGATGGAGATAGGTATATCTACCTATAGATATAGATAAATAGATGTAGATAGATAGATAGATATAGATATTTTCCCCCTGAAAGAGGGAAAGTTGTTTGTTGGTTCAAATATTTTTTTTTTTTTGCGAATTTTGCTTGCCAGTGATTTTAATATCAGTAGAGTGGCTCTCAAATTTTGGGATAACATACGATTTTAAAACCTTGACCTTGCTCCACTGTTGTTGACAAGCTCTCTACATGTGTTGTTTGCCCTCAGATTGCCCACCCTTAGAAGGAGCCATACCTCATCTGCGGACTGCATCAGTAGACTTAAAACCAGGCTCCAGGATCAGTCTGTCGTGTGATCCAGGCTTCCAGATGGTCGGGAACCCTGTGCAGTACTGTCTGAATCAAGGACAGTGGACACAACCATTCCCTCACTGTGAACGTGAGCTGCCTTTGTTGAAGGCATTTTAGTGCCTCTTGAAAAATACTGGAATCATAAGAACGCTTCTCAGGAATGCTGTGTAAAAGCTAGATACTTTACAGTAGCAAATATGGAAAATATTCATTGAGTGCTTCCTTTGTGCAATGAACCCTGTGTGCTGGGCACCAGAAGGGTGGTGGGTAATGAAGATCCAGAGAGACCACCCAGCTGCAAACTGAGGCTGGCTGCTGCTAGTGCCGGGCTCGGGCCCCTTAGCAGGGGGTACAAGGCACCCCAAGGCCAGGTGTTGCTTGCATGGGGTTTGTGGACCTTTGAGAGATTTTAAGAAAGTCCACAGCAAGAGTCAAGACAGGTCTCTTATCTGGAAATGCCATTGGGAGTGGCTTAGGTGGGCCTAAAATTTGGCTGGGTGAGTTGTCAGGGAATCACCTGGGAGGCCTGAGCTATGTTGATGGAGACTCAGAAAAGGTGCGTCCTGCACCTGCAGGGGGCGGTCTCAGCAAAGGAGCAATGAATGGCCTCTGCCAGCACTTCTGTCTGGGAGAAAGCTGCCCCTCCAGCCCTCACCCTGAAGCCAAACAGTTTAGTTCTTACTGTTTGTCCCTAGTGCTTTTGGAGTTACCACCATAGTGGCTGGGCCTCAGAGGTAATGAGTCTGTGCAGGTCCATGTGTGGGCCCTTTAAGAGAAATGCCTGGGACTCAGGCAGCCCTCCATCTCACTCATCCACAATCCCTCCTGGTTTTTATAGCCAAAAGTTATGGGACCTCTCTTCCTGGCACTAGAACTCTGGGCTGGGGGCCTAGTGTGGGGCTGGGGCCCTTTGCTTCTCAGGGGGACCTCTGTAGCCAAGATATCCCTCCCAATTATTAACCGCCACACATGGGTGTGGGACCAGTCCATTCTGCCTCTAACCCTCCTACCAGTCTCGATGTGGGTTTTTCTTTATATCTTTTGTTATAGGACTTCTGTTCAGCTAGACTTCAGATGGTTTTCAATGATGGTTGTGCTACCACCCCTAGAGCACTCTCCATCTAATGTGTGTGCGCAATGAAAAATTCATGCTTAACGCAACTATCTGTCAATAAATAAAATGTCCCTTAAGCATTTGTCCCTAATGTGGTTGTATTCTTCCTGGTCACATATAGGCATTAGCTGTGGGTTGCCACCCTCTTTGGAGAATGGCTTTTATTCAGCCGAGGACTTCCATGCTGGCAGCACAGTGACCTACCAGTGCAACAATGGCTACTATTTGTTGGGTGATTCAAGGATGTTCTGTACCAATAATGGGAGCTGGAATGGCATTTCACCATCATGCATTGGTGAGATAGATCTTGACAATTACTGTGTTGATTTAGTCAAATTCTATGGGAGACAGTCATCCCAAACCCCTGAGACTCTCTCATGGTATTTCTTTGTTAACTTCATCTCATCCCAGTAAGCTCTGGGCAAGCCGCAATGACAAAGCCGCTGTCCATAGAGCTGCCAAAAAAGTTTAAATTTTCACTAGGCTCCATTTTCAGAGTATCTTTATGTTATTGGTTTTGTTGTTGTTGTTCTTCTACTTACCCATCTATAAACTAAAGAAATAATAGCTTTTATTATATATCTGAATGTGATTATGATTTTATTTAAAATTTATATAGAGAATAGAGTGCTATATATTAAGTGATAGGTAGTGATTTAAAAATAAAAACAAATGCTTGATACATAAGAAAAATTAACTTTGCTCTTTGTGATCTGTCTTCATTTTAGATGTTGACGAATGTGCACTTGGGTCCGATTGTAGCAAGTATGCTTCCTGCCTGAACACGAATGGGTCCTACACTTGCTTGTGTAACCCTCACTACACGGGAGATGGTAAACACTGTGCAGGTAACTAGTATATGTGTAACTGGCAAGTTTATTTAAATGTTTTATTCAACTGTATATTTCCAATGTATGTTATTTGAAAATAAGACAATATTTTCAACATCAAAGAGGAGATGGGGAAGATAAACCAAATTTAAAAAGACACATAAGTAACAACTAAAAGTGCTTTAAATTAGCACTGTGCCTCTCCGAACCTCCCAAGTTCTGAACAACAAAACTGACAGCCAGCTATATCACCCGACTATTGAAGAAATGCCTACAGAGTAGAAAATAATAGAGTGAGTTTAGAAATATCACCAATGGCTTCCACTGCCTCAGTCAGGACGAGAAAGATGCATTATCACATCTTTGTCATCAGTATCTTTCCTCTGCCTCAGCCACACAAAATAATATCATTGGGGAAAAAATAGACATCTTGCCTTATCACATCTCTGTATGTTGTGATAACTTTGATAATACCCATCTCTCCACCCATCAGTATTTTTCTACATTTATTATGAGAAAGCAACTATCAGCAAGTAATAAAGAATAATTCTCAAAACCTGTCTCATAATTGCATTGACTTTTTGAGAGCATTTCATTTAAAGTCCTTAGCTTTTAAGTGCTCTTCAGAAAAATGGAATCAATATCTCTTCCCTTTTGGAGAATTCAAGTATCATAGTCACTTCTGTTACTCAGAGCTGGCCGCACATCTCCCCTTAATTTATTTCCTTCCTAGAAGTGGTGACTGACCCCAAATTTGCAAGTGGTAGGGGCTCACCATCTGTAGTCTGTTTGAATAGTGAGGCTGGAGACTTCTCCTAAGTGTGCTTTGGATGAGCTTGAGAGAACATCAGTTACTCTGGAATGATGGGTATGAGGTTAGGGGAAGTCTAAGGGACTGAATCCTTGTTAAGCTATGCCCTGGCTCCACCACTACCTCCCAGTATATACCTGCCATTTCAGCCAGATAAATTTTTATATATTTTTTGCTGTTTCAAAATAGTGTTTAATTGCCTATTAAATATATTTTCTGGTCTAATCATTCATCATATCTCTGGCCTTCATGTGCCTGCCTTCAAAAGCCTTTTCCCCAGGATCTAACTGGTACCTAACCTGTAGTGGAATTATTTTGCCATGAGATCTTGGATGGTTGTGTGAAAGCCACCTTCTGTTCCCCCAAAACTGCTTCTCTCTTTCAAGAACCAATAAAATGTAAGGTTCCAGGAAATCCAGAAAATGGCCACTCTTCTGGTGAGATTTACACAGTGGGTGCCGAAGTCACATTTTCTTGTGAGGAAGGATACCAGCTGATGGGCGCAAACAAAATCACATGTTCGGAGTCTGGAGAATGGAGCCATCTGATACCACATTGTGAAGGTATGTTGAGTAAATTGCCCACGTTTATGGTGTTGGGCAATCCTAGACATTTGCGGGCTAGAAATGTCAAGGATTGTATTGCGTCAATGTTCTTAGTATCTAAAACCCAGCTGTTAGGCTTATGTGTAAACATGACAAGAAAACCTAGAGCTACTCTTGAACTTTCAGAGACCCTGCACACCCTCACTAAGAAAAGCAATGCTTTTGTGTTTCGTCCTCACAGCTGTTTCCTGCAGTGCACCAGCTGCTCCAGAAAACGGTGCCATTGATGGGTCAGCATTTACCTACGGCAGTAAAGTGATATATAGGTAAGCGTCTAAGATTGAAACGACATTGTAGAAGTTGTTGGTGACTGCTGGCAGTGATATAATACTGGGAGAAAGGAGGAAGAATAGTGACAGAGGAAGGTTTTGAATTAATATGGAATTAACCGGGTTGTGTGTAGTATGAAGAAATTGAATGCAATAATCTATCCAATGGTAGTCGTATCTAGAATCCTTAAATCCCTAGATCACAATCTGTTACTGCCACCAGCACCTCCTTGAGAAGCTTTAAGAATGGATGCCATGTAAGAAAGCTCTGCAAGCTAATGAATATCTTTGGTTAAAAGGGGAGCTTTGGTCTGGCCAGTGTGGCTCACAGATTGAGTGTCAATCTGTGAACTAGGAGGTCATGGTTGATTCACGGTCATGCATGTGCCTCGGTTGTGGGCTCAGTCTCCAGTGTGGGGCGTGCAGGAAATAGCCAATCAATGATTCTCTCTCATCATTGAGTCTCTCCCCCCACCCCTTCATCTCTGAAATCAATATAAATAAATAAATAAATAAGCAAGCAAGCAAGCTTTGGCTCCAAATCTAATATTTAAAATCTAATATTACAGGGGCTGATACTAGACCAGACCACTCTCAAACCAAGAATGTTCTGTTTGCAGCTGCTAATCCATGACACAAACTGGAGGCAAGCCAAAGCCTTAAATCTGTAGTCCTCCTTATCACCCAGCAAGATCCCTGTGGGGAAGATGTACAGTACTGAACCATAAAAAAAATAATTCCAAAGCATTATTCAGTAGGAAAAAAGAACTCTTCCAATATGAATAAGTTCTCAATATTTTGGGGGAGCTTGGGCCCAGATAAAATTATGGGAAGTAAAGCAAATTAGATTCTGTCCTTTTTCTTTATCTCCTTTAGGTGTAATAAAGGATATACTCTCGAGGGTGATAAAGAGTCATCCTGTCTTGCTAGCGGTTCTTGGAGTCACTCTCCTCCTGTGTGTGAACCAGTCAAGTGTTCCAGCCCTGAAAACATAAACCATGGGAAATACGTTTTGAGCGGGCTTACCTACCTTTCTACTGCATCGTATTCCTGCGAGAGTGGGTACAGGTAAGTCCACAGATACCAGCTAAGCTTTCTACAGTACCGTTACTCACCATTTACTCAGTAGGTTTCATTTGCATGTGACTGGCTGGTTTTCAATACAAGTTTCTCAAATTGGTATGATTCCTGAGGCCTAGCTTACAGTGAATGCCCAGGGAAATATTTAATCTGGAAACTCTAGTTCAATTGCTATAAGCATTTAGACATTAAACATGAAGGCAAAAAGTGTTGTGAAGTGTAGACAAGGCCTGGATTTTTTGGTAAGTGACTTACCAAGCTTATATCATCATCACATGGGATGTTATAAAAAGCATGTCTAGTTAAGGGCCTGGGTCCTTAATATTGTAAGAAGGTAATTTGAATAATAGGGTGTGTGTTGCGGGGGGCTGGGGTGGGCGGTGGAGTCCAGTGGCACACAAACAGAAGGGGACAATGGAGAGAATCAGTCTATGATCAGAAACTTGGGCAACAGGATCTGAAGTGAAACAGATCAAGTGCACAGAACGTGGAGTGAGTAATACAGGCAATCAGAATCAGTTTGGCAAGCAAAGATGGATGAGCCATGCCACAGGAGGCGAGGTTTGCAAAATCTGAGGGAGACCAGGGGTCAGAGTCGTGAGCAACACGATTCAGATCCCAGGCTCAGGGCCAGGATAGTGCCCTTTGGCCTCAGTGACCCTGAGCATCTCAGTAATCCTGGGTGTCTGTCTCCTAGCCAGCCCGCTAACCCCTTCTGATCTAGGTCACCTACTCACATGGTCTGGAGGGCCCTACAGCACCACCAATGAGCACATTTTATTTTGCACCAAGTCATGTTGTTTTAGCCCACTCGTTGTTTTAAAGGGCCTACAGTCCGCTCAGGTTTTCCTTCCTTTTTTATAAAGCAATAAATTATGAAGAAGTTTTATATTTATGTATTTAGATTCCTCAGGGTCCCTGGTTCTCTTCTAAGTCCTTCCTATTCAATGCCATCGCAGGAAATAAACAGGCAACGAAAGAGGCGCTGTCATTCTTTCTTGTAGCTTGCAGGGCCCTTCCATCCTTGAATGCTCGGCATCCGGCAGCTGGGACAGAGCGCCACCTACCTGTCATCTTGTCTTCTGTGGAGAGCCTCCTGCCATCAAAGATGCTGTCATCACCGGCAATAACTTCACTTTGGGAAGCACCGTCACTTACACCTGCAAAGAAGGGTGAGTAACCTTGTGCGGTAAGGAGCGTTGGGAGGCGCTGAGGGCAGGGATGCTCCCGACTGTGGAGATGGGCTCCCCTGAACGTTAAATTACATTTCCTGTCAGCTAAAGCCAAGGAGAGCTATATGCTCTTATTCCCTGACGGCAGAAAGGGGGCATATTCTCCTGAGGGAACCATGTTTGCTTGGAATTAGAGTGATTTAGCAAGCTGGGCCTGGAGTAATGGACATCGGGCAATGCGGTGGAAAATATCATCACACTTTAATTAAAGATGCAAAAAGCACAGCTAAATGAGCATTTATCCTCTGCAAACCAGAGGCAATACTTTAAATCACAACAGAAAGATGACATGTCTTTAAGAAAAAATTACTCAATTTCAGGCTATTACATTTTTAAAGATCTCATTTTAATTCAGAGATGAATTTGAAAAACAAAAACAAAACAGGATGCAGATTACAAAGAGCTTTTACCCTCAATGTCTCCTTTGATCCTCACAAAAGCCCCGTGAGGTGCAGAGAAAGGAGAGGTCACTCTGGATGGGTGATCTGCTTAGCGTCTCAGACAGGCCAGGGAGAATTGAGGGGTAATTGAATCCCAGGTGACCCGACATTTCCCCACCGGCTTCCTCAATGAACATTTTCATAAAAATTGCCATTATTATGATGATTGGAGCACAACTGAGAGGGTACAGTTTCTGTACAATTATCTAAGTTGAAGTTCATTTCACTTGATAGACCGTCCCACAAATACAGGCCTGCCAGCAGGTGGTGACATTCTGTTGCAAACTGCATAAATAGCAGACAGAAATCTCAAATCTTAACACCTTAAGTGAAAAGGAAAGCTTTAATATTAAACTACCAGTGCAGGAGTTAACTTCTTATGGCTTCATCTCTCTCTGGCAGATTAAAAACTCAGAAAAGGAAAGCTTTAATATTAAACTACCAGTGCAGGAGTTAGATTCTTATGGCTCCATCTCTCTCTGGCAGATTAAAAACTCATTTAAAAACTGCTTCAGATTAAACCACATAGACTAATAAAATTTAGCCGTTTTTGTGAAATGTTATCAAATATAATAACTAAATATTGACAGTGTCTTGTTTTTTTTTTCCTCATTTAAAAAGTGAGGCATTGTCACCATATAAAACTAGAAAATAAAAAGGTTATTTTTAAAAATTACCTAAAGATAAATGTAGTGATATTTTACTATATTTCTTCCCAGAATTTTGCCTTTGCAT